GGGGTGATCTCGTAGTTCCTACGGGGTGGAGACGATGGGGTCGGTCCATGGATTTTCCTTCCTTTTGCCGCATTTCGCTCAAAGGGTTGAAGGGAGATAGTGCATCAAGCTGTTCGCAAGGGCCAACTTGATCCTCTTCCCCAGGGATCCCAGATGAGGGAACCCTAAGAGAGCCGCCGACTCCAACTACCGTCCATGTACGATCCATACTAGATCTGACCAACTACCCATCCTACCTCCTCTACGTTCTTGACAGCCCATCTTTGTCTCAGTAAAGTCTTTCAGTGGCATGTTTTGGTCCCCTTCCCCATTACTTAGAAAAAGTGAGTCACCGGTTCAGGTACAAGATACTATCATTACCGCCTGGACAATTAGACATCCAACCCGTAATCGCAAGGGATTAGTCAGTTCTATTTCTCGATGGGGGCAAGGGAAGGGATGGTCATTTTGCATTCCCAACGATTTCTTCTGAATCTTTTGCCTTTTCGTATATCAGAGGATATATCCCAAGAGTATCGTAGCTATTAACATCCTTTGGATTTTCAAAGGAATTCAAATCTGTCCCGATCAAAATATTATTTGCCACATCACCTTGCTCTATTCTCTCTCCAAAGGTACCAGCCTCCTTTGTAACTATATGAATATTTTCTATTGGAAGTAGAGTTCTCTCTAATCTTATTTGGAAGGTCGAGCGACGGTTCCAGGATTAATTCATTATTCTTCTCGATAGCTGCCAACTTTTCACCTTCAGCAATTAAAACTCCAGCTGTATGATCGAGAACAGAAATCTGGCGCCTCGTTTTCCGTTTCAAATTCATTAATTGAATTTGTGTCTTCCGCTTGCGACCCTTTAACTTCCAAGACGAGCTTTGCAGAATCTGTCTGTTCATCTTCCAAAGCCGTCTCTGAAATATATGACTGTTCATCTTCCAATATTTTCCAAAAACGTTCAACATCCAGAGGATTGGAAAGAGAATCGATGCCTGTAACCGGGTCAAAATAATCAACTGGAAAAGGAGGCTTATTGGCAGAAACTCTGACCTTGAAGGAACCATACTTCTCATCATCAATGGTTACAGTGACTGGAATAAAACCACAATGGTTGAATTTAAATTTGATGAAAGCTTCGGAAGCATCCAACATATTGAGAGTTTCCGAAGAGACTTTCAGCAAACCACCAAAGTGTTTCCAATAGCCTCATAGGTTGAATAAGTCCAATAATACAGAGGTAAATCTTTCTTATTATGCAAATGAGGACTCCATTTTTCAAGCGTCAGATGGAAATTCCCAATCTTCCTCCATCTTCCGAAGAGTTCATAAGGCTTAAAAATACTATCTCCGGAGAATCTCAATAGTCCCTCATCAACCATTATTGGATTTATCACACAATCAAGTGTGAAACTTTCTTTTAAGCTCTGGCGATCTCTAACCAATCATCATGTGCACAACTCTTGGAGACTACCATTAGACGATTCCAATCTAATTCCAACACCTCTGTTTCTTTCTGAACCCAAAAGGTATGAACTTTGTCTATTTTGGACTCATAAACATACCTTTGAGAATTGCCAAGAGATCTATCACTCATATTTTCTTTTTTCCCAGCTACCACTTCTAAAAAGGACCTTTTTGTTCTTGAATGCGACTTCTGATTCAGTTTTTCTTTCCCTTTGAAGGGCCCCCGGATCTGCTGTTCCTCGACTGTATTCCCAATGACAGGATGAATGTTTCTTACCATCTGCATAGCTTGTGCTTCCATTATCCTTGTAGAAAATGTTTTTAACATCTTCCAGAATACTTGTCATCCATCCCCTTTAGAGCCAGTAGGTACGAGAACACTTTTACGACTTCCAGTGGAAGGCCATAACACCCACTCCAAAATCCAAAGGCCAAAAGCTCTGGATTTTTGAATACGACATTGCCCCAAATCGTCTCGAAGCTGAAAGAATAGGGAGGCAGAGGTCTGTTGCTGAGTGACTGTTGCCGAGGAATTATACAATCTGCAAACTGAATTTACAGTAAACACACCTGTAGGATCGATGTTCCATTCTGTTTGATCCTCCTCATTAGTAATCGAAAAAGAGCTAATCACCTGTAGCAGGCCAGCAAACTCATGTTGCTCATCTTCCTTCAAAGGTCTTCTCAGAATAATGTTCCATGAACCAGTATCATTGTCCCAAAAATCAGCAATAGAGCCATGAGGTAATAAAGAAAGCTTGAACATTCTAGAAAAGCTTTGTAGGAGACTATGAGTAGCCCAACGAGAATTCCAAAAGTAGACCCTATTGCCACAACCAACTTTGTAGGAGACAGTCCTCAACACTCCTCCACTGTGCAGAAATTTTCCTCCATGGACCACAGGAACCCCCAATTCTCCTTGAATTCGTAAACCACCCATGAGGCTCAACTCCATAAATGCTTGCCACCACTTGTCTCCAAATTGACATGGATTCACGACCAAAACGCCAGCCCCATTTGGCTAGAAGAGCATCATTCTTCCTTGAAATACCACCAATGCCCGGACCACCATCTTCCATAAAGAGAGAAGTAACTTTCCAATTGACCAAATGCTTCAAAGGTCCTTTGGAATTACCTTCCCATAAAAAATCCCTCATTGATTTCTCAATCATCTTGACAATATCATTTGGCACACGAAAAAGGGACATATAATAAGTAGGGAGATTAGCCAAAACTGATTTACACAAAGTCAATCTACCTCCACGAGATAGGTTGAACCGCTTCCATCTATCCAGTTTTTTTCCCCACCTTTTCAAAACTCCTTTCCAGCCAAGATTGTTGAGTCATAGAAATCGGGCGCCAATTGATACCTCGAATGGAAAACTTTCGCGTGGGGACTCGAGAATATAGCTGAGTGAAAAAACCAAGGATTGCACCTTCTATGTCCTGTTCATTCAACAAAGCCAAACCGTTAGAGTATGTTATTTCAGTAATCATAATTTTTCTTTTCCGAGCAGCAAGATACAGATGGAAGAAACTCGAGTTTTCATCTCCTTCTTTCAACCATTGAATTTTGCATTTCTGAATCAATTCTTGTTCTTCCTCAATAAAGATACCAAGTAACTCATTTTGAAGAAAAGAACGAAGACTCCTTTCTCCTCTGATAAGCCGAGAGTTTCTTCTTTTGCATCTAAGGTGGAAATTTCTGCAGTGATCTTCTCTGACTGCCTCCTCTGATCCTGAACTTTCTTTTCACTCCACTGTTTAAGAGTGGATTTTAAATTTTTGAGTTTTGAATAAAGAACGAAACCAGCCCATCCATAAGTGGCATCTGTCGACAACTTTGATTCAATTAGGCGCACACATTATTTATCTTTAAGCCAGGAATTGTAGAATCGAATAGGGCTAGTACCCCATACAAAATCCCCTGCTTCTAAGAGAGGGTCATTACAAGAAATTACAATGTTACTAGCCTTTTGAGAGGGTCATCTCACTCCCAAGAACTATACCATTTTTCACCTTAAACTATTCCCAAAGATTCCCTCATTCTCTCTCTATTACTTCTATTTATATTCAACCTACCCCTAACTAATTACCGTAATGGCCCCACTAACTTGCCCTTCAAAGACACCTTGTCCTTAAGGTGTGGTTAAATAAAAACAATTTACTCTTTTTCATATTAACACCAAGTTGTGGAGTCTTGTTGCCTGTAATATCAGCTATGAACATCTTCAAGGACGTTGCGTGCCCTCGCAAACCCATCGTTGTTCCTTTACTTGTGTGTTGATCATCACCAGCATCTCTTTCAGGCCCAACACTTCCTTCTCCATTGTTTCGCAGCGATCTTCCAACTTCTTTTGTGACATCTTTCTCGGTTTTTTCAGGACGAACTTGCTCTGATACCAATTTGTTAGGATCCTTATTTTAAGAAGGTGATAATGTAATTATATAGCAATATCAACGAGAAATTACAATATCAATAGCCTTTAGAGAGGGTTATCTTTCTCCCAAAACTATGTCATGTTCTTCACCTTAAACTATTCCCCATGATCCCCTCCTCTCCCTACTGCCTTTATTTATATCCAACTTACCCCCAACTAATTACCATAATTTCCCCACTAATATACTAATACTATTCTCAATCTAACCCTAATAGTACTCTCACACAAGCATGACAACTTGGACACCTCAAAAGCCTCATTTTCTTCTATAGCAACAGCAACAGTCCATCGGCCTTGTACTTTCCCTATTCATATACTGATAGTGGTACCTTCGGTCCTTTAATGGTCTGCCAGGATATATTAAACAAAAATGATAGCATTTTGTGGAAAAAAAAATTATGATAGGAGTATTAGATGGCCTACCAAGATATTAAACTAGTTTCTTATTTGGCATAGCTTCTTGACAGCTGCATATTAATCATTTTGCTTAGCTCTTACTGACGGATGTAAAAAAAATTATCATTTTGCTCTGCTCTTCATATTATTTCTGCAATTCTATATTGAAGATAAATGTTTTTTAAGTAAAAAATTCCTTTTTTTATTTCAGTTTGTGATTATTGCACAATAACTTCTCAACTCCAGTTATCCGTCTAAGCTTTTGGTGCCTCATTTCATCTTCTTTTAGGCAAAGTGTGAAGCTGCATACTTCGTTCTGGTTCTACATGATGTGAGATGTGTAGTGATTGCTGTAAGGGGAACTGAAACACCTGAAGATCTCATAACTGATGGCCTATGTAGGGAGTGCGCACTTTCTGAGGAAGACTTGGATGGGCTGATGAAGTCTCTTTCTCTCTCATAAACCCTCCCCACCCAAAAAAAAAAAAAAAATTTACACACACATTACATTTCAAATTTAGTTTGTTCAAAGGTCATAGATTTGGAACTTATCACCAAGAAGATTTTAGAGTACTTAGAATGGTAGAAATTGTTTGGGAAAATGTGATTGGAGAATGTTAAGGTAATGATAAATGAGTTTGATGTGTAAGGGGTAAACATTGGATCATCTAGAGCTTACCATACAATTGATAATCTAATGATTAATTCTGCTGGGTTTCAATTAGATGTTTTGATGTTTACCTCGTGAAGAAGTGAAAATCTGCAACAAGCTTACTATCTTATTTTGATTTGGTTTTCCACTGGTTTTCTCTTACTTTTCAACATGCTAGATTAAACCAATTGCTTATTGATGGAAGGTACTGCAAACTCTGTGTTCTGTAGTCTCGTCTTCATACAAATACACCATAATCATTAGTTGTTTTTATACAGTTATAATGTCTTAGTTGCTTCCAGAGTTTGATCCTAGCCTTTCTCTCTCCAGGAAATATATGTTCTTCATTTGAAACCTTTTCCAACCTTTGCTTGCTTGCAGTAGCGATCATGTTCAACCCAATGTAAAGCAGAAGATTATTTCATCTTTCCCACACTATGCACATTCTGGGATTGTTGAGGCTGCCAGGGATTTATATATGCAAATTGAAGGGAATCGTAAAGATGACAATGGTATGTTGGATGTTTTTTACTGCCGCCCTTTAAACTTTCTGGCTTTTGGTGATCCCCATTTTGATTTGTCATTGGCACCTAGAAATCCCCTTTCTTGTTGGTATTGAAGTTTGAGAATACGAATCAACTAGGATTGCAGATGGTAGTTTCTGGTAATAAAATGCACTCTTGTGATCGTCAGAAAATAGCTAGTGGTTGCATAATGGGAAAAAAGTCACCTTGAGGTTATTCCATAAAGTAAAAATAAACACGGGCAGAAAGTAAATAAGAGGAGTAGGCTTACTATTTATGTAAGCCAAATAATTGTGCGCAAAATTATCCTGATTCCAGTGAGTACAATCCCTATCACCCCTACGAGCCCAGTGAGTACAAGATGAAGGTCGATCTCCCTCCGTTTGATGGCAGATTAGATATCGAAGGCTTTCTCGATGGATCAAAAATGTGGAAAGCTTTTTTGAGTACATGTCGACTCCGGATCACAAGAAGGTCAAACTGGTGGCGCTAAAATTGAAAGGCGGGGCTTCTGCTTGGTGGGAACAACTGGACACCAACAGATGACGTTTTGGTAAGGTGCCTATCCGCACTTGGGAGAAGATGAAGAAGCTCATGCGTGCCAGATTTTACCCATAAATTTTGAGCAAATTCTATACAATCAGTACCAAAATTGCAAACAAGGCACACGATCTATAGCCGACTATACCGAGGAGTTCCATAGGTTGGGAGCAAGAACTAAACTTGGGGAGTCCGATCAATACCAAGTGGCTCGTTTTGTTAGTGGTCTTCGGACAGACATTAAAGAAAAGCTTCAGCTCTAACCAATTGGATATCTGAAGCCATTGCCACTGCCATAATCGTGGAGGAACAACAAACTAATCGGTTTAGGGTGCAATACCAACGAAGAACGTCGGGAAACGCTCAGATTGGTTCTTCTAAAAGTGGTACATCCTCTTTGATAAAACAACACCCGGTTCTGCCTCCACTTCCAAAGGTAAGGGACCTGAGGATACAAAACCTGCTGACCAAACTACCAAGAAGACATCCAATGTTTACAATAGACCCACATTGGGAAAATGTTTTTGCTGTGGGCAAGTGGGTCATTTATCCAATGAATGTCCACAGTGTAAAATGGTTAACTTTGTGGAAGATGACCAAGATTTGGGTGATTCTTGTGTTCATGATTACGACGGTGATGTTGCCTACCTTGAACCCGATGAAAGGGATCAGGTTTCTTGTGTGTTAGAAAGAATTTCTTGCCCCTAAGACACAAGCTACTCAACAAAGACACTCACTATTCCGCACTCGATGTACTGTCATGGTAAGGTTTGTAATATTATCATTGACAGTGGTAGTACTAAAAATGTCGTTTCAAGTAAGCTGGTTTCAAGCTTAAACCTCAAAGTTTCACCCCACCCCACACCATACAAGATTAGTTGGATCCAAAAAGGTGGTGAGGTCCTTGTTAATACTCTTGTGTACCATTCCCTTATCCATTGGGAATAGCTATAAGGATCAATTACATGTGACGTCCTCGATATGGATGTTTGTCAAATCCTTTTCGGACGCCCATGGCAATTTGATACTCAAGCAATCCATAAGGGTCGTGAAAACACATATGTAACATGGATGGGGAAAACAGTGGTACTACTCCCTCTAACCAGCGCTACAAATCCAAAAAATGTGGAAAAAGGCCATCTCTTCCACATTTGCAATGCAAAACAACTTCTGTTCCAACAATCTGCTCCTATTTTGAGTTTGATAGTAAAAAGCTTTGATAGTTCGGATACTTTTACTACCTCTACAATACCCTTGGAGGTTGATTAGCTTTTATCCACCTTTCCTGACCTCCTCCATCCACAAGATTCTTTACCTCCAATGCGGGACATTCAACATCACATTGATCTCATTCTAGGAGCTACATTGCTCAACTTACCCCATTATCGCATGAGTCCAAACGGATACAAAATTTTACATGACCAAGTAGCTGAATTATTAGCCAAAGGGCATTAGTTTAAGCCCTTGTGCTGTGCCAGCACTCCTTACACCAAAAAAGGATGGATCTTGGCGGATGTGTGTGGATAGCCGAGCCATCAACAAGATTACTATCAAATACCGGTTTCCTATCCCTCGAATCAATGATCTACTTGATCAATTAAGGGGTGCCCACTTCTTTTCTTAGGTTGATCTCCGCAGTGGATACCACCAAATCAGAATTCGCCCAGGGGATGAATGGAAAACGACTTTCAAAACAAACGAAGGGCTATTCGAGTGGCTAGTCATGCCATTCGGCTTATATCCAATGCACCAAGCACTTTCATGCGCCTAATTAGTCAGCAGGGGTTACAAATGGATCCAGCCAAGATAAAGGCTATATCCGATTGACCTGAACCTCATACTATAGAAGGCATCCAATGCTTCCTCGGAATAGCTTCCTTTTACAGAAAATTTATTAGGGACTTTAGCACTATTGTGGGCCCCCTCACTGATTGCCTAAAAAAAGGCAACTTCCAGTGGTCCCAAGCTCAAAAACAGAGTTTCCTACGTCTGAAACAGAAACTGACAGACAGCCCCGTTTTGAAACTACCGGACTTCACCCAACCCTTTGAGGTAGCAGTAGACGCCTCTGAGGTTGGTATTGGAGCAGTTTTATCACAAAATCAACATCCGATTGAATACTTTAGCGAGAAATTAAGTCCCTCTCGCCAAAATTGGAGTACATACGAGCAAGAACTATATGCTCTTGTTAGAGCCCTTAAACAATGGGAGCACTATTTGCTCAGTCAAGAATTTATCTTATTTACGGACCATTTCTCTTTGAAGTTCCTTTACACACAAAAATCTATAAGCCGCATGCACGCTAGATGGTTGTCCTTTTTGCAAAGGTTTAATTTTGTTATAAAGCATAAGAATGGTACCCTCAAGAAGGCAGCTGATGCCCTCAGTAGAAAACATTCTTTGCTAACGATTTTACAAGGTGAAGTTACTGCCTTTTCGGCCTTACCTACAACATACCAAACTGAACCTGATTTCGAAAAGATATGGACTCAATGTCAGCAACATAAAGATACAGGAGAGTTTCATATCTTAGATGGGTATCTCTTTAAAGGGGATCAATTATGTATCCCTCATACGTCCTTAAGAGAAGCCCTAATCAAGGACCTCCATGCGGGAGGCTTGGCGGGTCACTTTGGCAGAGACAAAACACTAACCCTTGTGGGAGCACGTTTTTTTTTGGCCTCAGCTACGAAAGGATGTCTTCAGTTATGTCTCCAAGTGTTTCATTTGTCAAACTAATAAGGGGACAAAACAAAACACTTGTCTTTAGGGACAAAACAAAACACTTGTCTTTACATTCCTTTACCTACACCGAAGACTATCTGGGAAGACCTATCTATGGACTTTGTCCTCGGATTACCCCGTACACAAAGAGGATATGATTCGGTGTTAGTGGTTGTGGACCGATTCAGCAAAATGGCCCATTTTTTGGCTTGTAAAAAAACATCGGATGCAGTATATGTGGCTAATTTGTTCTTTAGAGAAATAGTCCGCCTACATGGCATATCAAAAACCATAGTGTCAGATAAGGACGTCAAGTTCCTTAGTCACTTTTGGAAAACACTTTGGCGCAAATTCGATACTTCGTTAAAATACAGCACCACAAACCATCCACAAATGGATAGCCAAACAGAAGTAACGAATCGCACTCTTGGCAACCTCATATGTTACATTTGTAGTGATAGACCGAAGCAGTGGGATCTGGCCCTAGCACAAGCGGAATTCGCCTTCAACCACATGCAAAATAGAACCACAAGGAAGTCCCCCTTTGAAGCAAAACTAACTGTAGACCTTGCTAATATTCCTCTTTTTGTTGATTTTAGTTTAGAAGCTGAACAAATGGCCGAAAAGATTCAACAATTATATGACAAGGTTCGACAACATATTGAAAACACAAACGCAAAGTACAAGCAGCAGGCAGATTCAAAGCGGCAGAAACAAGAGTTCAAAGAAGGAGATCTGGTCATGATACACTTAACTAAAGGTAGACTGCCTTCTGGTGCTGCACACAAGTTACAGAAGAAAAAATGAGGACCTTTTGCGGTATTGAAGAAGTATGGATCAAATGCTTATAAAATACAACTACCTCTAGACTTCAATATTAGTCCTATCTTCAATATGACATATATATATCCATACGCAGCCCCGGATTCTTTTACAATAGCTTCTTAACTCGAGGTCGAGTTTTTTTTCGTAGAGGGAGGGAAAATTGATGTAACTATCAATAACTACTTTAGTTAGCCTTGGGTAAGTTAGTCAGTTAGATAGTTAAGTTGTTAGCTTTTCCCCTGTCCCTTGGATTATTCCTATAAATAGTTGGCCATTTGTATCTTTTCCTACACTTCAATACAAATCTAGTTTCCTCTCAAATTCTGTTACACCATATGGGCTGAAAGATTGGTATAAAGTGGGCGATAACAATTTAAAATTTGGACCTTGGAGCAACAAGGCTTGCAAAAAAGATAAGAGTTATCCCATCCTATGGAGGTTGGATAAAGGTAAGAATCTTCTCCTAAATGAATGGGATGACAACACATTGAAAATTATCGGGGACATATGGGGTGGATATTAGGAAACGTCGAAGAAGACCATATCTTGTCTAAACCATGGAGGCCACCATTAGAGTGAAACAAAACCCCTCTGACTTTATACCTATTGAAATTTGGCTTCTTACATCATATACAACTCCATTACTGGTGCAAATTGATCCATTTTTGTGTTTGAGCATTATCTGGGTTTTATGGCCAGAATCCATGGAGATCTGCTACCAGCGACCCATCTTACCGGACAGAACATGGTGGCGCACCTTCCAAAATCTCCCTTTTGCAAGTCTTTCTTGGTCCGTACTCTCAAGCAGCACAAGAGAAATACTTTTTGTCCTTATGTAGCAACTTGATTTTGATGGAATAAAAAATATTTGTATTCCAATATATCAAAAAATAAGAGAT